ATTAGGTTGGCACAAAGAATCCATTGATCAGGAGAAAGGAAATGAACTCCTCTGCTGGCCCCAGACTTCCCTAGGAGGGCTCTGGAGAGCTGGCAACTATGTAGTCAGAATTTATAGCAAACGTCCCCTCTTCTCCAAGAGGCCTCCATCACTCTAGCACGTGACTTTATTTTCTTCAGAACACCACTGAAAAGATCCTGCACATTTCTTACCCATGTTTCCCTCCACTAGAGACTAAGTTTCCTGGGGGAATTTTACTCTGCTTTGCTCTCAGCACTGAGAACAGGGGCGCCAGGGTAGGTGCTTGGCACTTGGTAAATGGATGGGTGAACCGTTAAGTAGGCAGAAGCATGAATGGTTGCCTAAGGACTAGGGCTTGGGGGCTATAATAGAAATGACACCAGACAGAAATCCTGAGCTGTTTTCACATCCCGCTTTTCCTGATAACCTAGAAAATGTAGGTCTTTTTTGAGGCAAGGATGATCCGGTAGAACGGCGGCATTCTAGATTCTAGAATGTATCTCACCACAGTGCAGAGAACATTTGCATTCTGTCTCTACATGTGCCAAGTCAGCTTTAGCATAATTTCCCACTATAATAATTGTCTAGAAGGAAGAAATTTGAATATGTGGAAAATGCCATTTACAGCTAAAGTTACCCTTAAGGTATCCCCAGAACTGAGATAACTCAGGATTGGGTGGATCTGCTGGAACTAGATACAATGAAATGGACCTTTGGTACCTATTTAGACAAGTTTCTGGAGAGAAAAATGTGTTTTCCCCCTTCTTATCTTGAAGTCAAGACACATGATACATGATGTCTACCTATGGAAGAATGCACCCTCCTGTCTACATGATTCTGGTTTTTTAAAATATGGATGATTTGATGTGCTTTTAAAGTATTGGGTTCTTTAATTTTTAAAGATTACTTTATGTGTATGAGTGTTTTGCTTGAATGCACACCACAGGCATACTTGCTGTCCAAGGAAGGCGGAAGAAGGTGTCTGATTCTCCTGGAACTGGAGGTATGGATGACTGTTAGCCTCCTTGTTGGTGCTGGGAACCAAACCCAGGTCATCCACAAGAGCAACAAGTGGTCTTAATTACTGACATCTCAGCAGCCATATTAATATATTCTTTAAGAGTAGAATCTAATTGGTCAACCCCCTCCAAAAGCAGTGGAGTGGATAAGCTGATACAGCCCATCCCTGGAAGGAATGAATCATTTCTTCAAGTGATTTTTGAACGAACAAGGTGAGTCTTAGACTAAACAAAGGGACTGAATAAAACAGCGTCAAAGTCCTCTGTCCAGTGATACCTGTATGTGGCTTAATTTTTTTTAAAAGATTCAGTTATGTGTGTGTAGAATGGGTGGTGAGAAAGGTACACGTGAGAGTGAATGCCCACATGGGCCAAAACAGCGTGTCAGATTCCCCTAGAGCTGGAGTTACAGGCATTTATGAGCTACCTGACCTGGGTATTGGGAACTGAACTCAGGTCCTCTGTAAGAGCAGCAAGCACTCTTAACTGCTGAGCCACCTGCCCTGCCTTTGGCTTTGTTTTAAATGAACAAAAACCAAATAAACTTTGCTTGATTACTCCTAGCTATATTTTCATTGCTCGGGTAGCCACACATGTCTAGTTGTTCTCATATTGATTGGCACAGGCATTTTCATTAAAGAAAATTCTACTGAACAGGGCAGTGCTGCTTAAGTGTGGTGTTTTCAGATCTCTGTTGTAGGGAGAGCAACAATTCTTAGCAATCCTCTTCCATTGGTAAATGCTGTTCTCATAAAGAAAATAGGACAAATTCTTTTTTGTTGCCAGAGAAGACAAAATTGAAGTGTGTGTGTGTGTGTGTGTGTGTGTGTGTGTGTGTGTGTGTGTGTTTTAGAGACAAGGTTTCTTTGTGTAGCTCTGGCTGTCCTAGACTCAGTTTGTAGACCAGGTTGGCCTTGAACTCACTGAGCTCCACCTGCCTCTACCTCCCAAGTGCTGGGATTAAAGGTGTGTGCCACCACACCTAGCAAGACTTAAGCTTTTCTGGGACTCCCCAAAGAGCTGGGTGAGAAGGAAATCAGACAGAAGATCGGAATTGCTACACACAGGGATGACTGGATGAAGGGAGACAGGCTCACTGGAGACATTCACTGCTCAACTAGAACTTGGAGCAGAAAGCACCATGGTTGAGAAGACACACTTTGTGTTGATTGAAATTTGATTGTTATAATTTTCTTTTTGAAAAGAATCTCATGCTGGAGGTATATCCCAGAGGTCCAGTATTGGCTTAGCATGCTAGATCCCTAGCATCACGAAACAAACAAATAGGTAGATTGCTTTATTTGCTGATTGGAGAACAAGGAAAGAAGGGTCTCGGTCTAACGTGGACCATAGTTTTAAAAGTGGGTGGTTACATGCTAGAGTAGAGAGAAGCAAAGGGAGTCATGGGCAAAGTAAATACGAAGGGAAAGAATTGAGAGAGCCTCGTCTCCACAGAGAGACTGTCTTTACAAGAGTCTTCTACTCAAACTTAGGATTTGTGTTTGTCTTTGTAGAGAATATACTTTCTTATTCTAAGAGAAAGGATGTGAAATCATGGACTTTGCCCAGTAAGGGCACCCTCTCACCCTGCCACTCTCCCATATCTTATGTTGTTGATCATCTTAGTTATGAAGCCTCTAAGGTCTTCTCTGAGTTCTGATTTAACTTTAAATCCTATTTCTTTTGCCAGCCATTTGATTTGCAATCCTGGTACCATCTTTTGCATGCCCAAATTACTGGAGCTTTGCAGTATGGGCAACTTTTAATTATTTGGAGAAACAGAGGAAACAGATAGTTTGTATCAGAAAGAATAATATTTAATAAGAGCAAACATTTTCTGAACATTTACCATGTGTTATGCACTTTGGTAAATGTTTAATGTTTTACATTATCTCGTTTAATCCTAATAAAACATTGCAGTGATCCAGGTATTGTTATTTCTATGTCATAGAAGCAGAAAATGATTCCTACGTGTCATAGTGGTGCATATCTGTAATTTCAGTACTTAGTAAGCAGAGGCAGAAGGACTGCAAATTTGGATCCACTCTGGAATACACAGTAAGTTCCAGGCTAGGCTACATAGAGATATCTTGTCAAAAAGAAGAGGAAGAACTGCCAATTAAACACTAAGTCATCCGACGGAGATTAGATAATTAGTAGTAGGTGGAATCAAAGTTCAAAACCATCTTTATCTGATTTTGGAACTTGCACTTTTATCTACTACTCAGCACATGAACTTTTACACATACTAATGTTCTGACTCGCGCTACTCAAATCCAACAATAGTATGATTTCCTATTGATAGATAAGTTCATACACTGAATACAAAACATTTTTTTTCTTATTGTTAAGTCAGGTAGCTGAGAAACTTTTTAGTTTACTGTATCAGAAAGGCTTTGTCTCTGAATGGTGGTGCTTGTCTCAATAAGTGATGTTTTGCATTGAGTCTGTCTTCCTAGGGAGTTTCTACGGAGATGTTAATGATGGTAGTTGACACAGACCAAAGGCTAAGTAAGACACTGCTGGAAGGAGCTGGAGTGATGGTATAGGAACTTGAGGAATTCATAACTGATGATTAAAGCAGCCCCTTGGCCCATTTGGTGTTAGGTTGAATATCAGAGGAATCTGCTCTTTCACTTGTGATGAGACAGGGAGAAAAGTTCAATTGCAGATGCATGTCATAGTACAGGGAATAGGAACCAGTCTGGCTATTCTTCCCCACCTGCTCTACCAGTCACACAAGAGCACTGAGGCTAAATTTCTTAAGCAGTGCAGTCTCCTTGGTTGTGAATATGGATTTACCTCTCCTAACAGACTAAGGCTTTCCAAGGACACAGATGATTCGCTGAACCTAGCAAGGTTCTTTATTCATCATAGGATTGTGGTGCTAAATGTTTCCAGGCTAAATACGAATAACACGAGACAAGGGGATGTTGTTCGGTTGCTGTTTTAGAAATTTTGCTCATTTAGCTAGCTAGGGCAGTTGAAAGTGAGATTTAAGCGCTGAGATGAAGTATCTGATTATATGTGGGTAGTCTTTGCAACTGAAAGCTGAGAAATAATGTTTCGAAGGTCTGGTTATTGTGAACTTATAAAGGCAATGCAAGCCAGAAGGCGGAGCTTAAGTTTTCTTAAGTTAAAACCTCAAACTTTCGTTTCGTTTTCTATAAAATGATTCGGAGGTCAGGTCGAACCAGATGTGCCCTTGCGAGTCTTTCATCGTTGACATCTCGAGATACTACAACAGATTTAAGACGTTCAGTTTGGGCGGATTGCTGCTGATTCTGACTCGGCACTCTACTCACAAGTGACTACCTCTCTTTTTAGACAATGACTGTGTTTGGTTAACCCCGATGTTCCTACAATTTAACCACAAGTTATTGGTCCTTGTTGGTACCCAGCAAACGTTTGTCGAATGAATGAATACCTGCTGGCTTAGGTTCTTCGTAGGGCTAGATCCGGCCTTCCAGTACAGGATCCTGTGGAGGTCAACCCTTACCCGCCAGTGTGAACTGGCGCTTGCCCCGGATAAGCATAGTTCTCTCTGCGGAGGAGCCTGACCTCCTCTAACGATCTGTCATAGGCATCTGCAGACAGAGCTTTTAAGAGAATTAGGGCCCGGCAGGTTGAATCCCTAGACCGCCAGCTTGGTCTCTAAAGCAGATTCTCACGTTTGACCACTGAGGAACACGGGGGACCAAAGAGAGCCGGAACTCTCTGGTAAGCTACGCTGTCCGCGGTAAAACCTTTCCCCTTGTTCCTGTCACAAATCTCGTCGCCTGAGCAACAGTGGGCGTCAACAAACGCAGGGCGGAAATAAGGATATAGTACACGTCTCCAGCTCAGCGCTAGCCCACACGCAGGCGCGTTAACCTACTTCCGGCTGTAGTTCTCAGTCTAGGGATGCAATCTGCGTCTGCGCATTCATCGTGACGCGCCAAGGCCGACCAATAACGCCCGCGTGGGCGTGGCCAGGGCCCGCCAGCGCGCACGCGCGAACCGCATCCCGGTGGCCGCCTGGTACCCGAAGTGTCCCGCGTTCGTCATGTCGGCGTCGGTGGTGTCCGTCATTTCGCGGTTCCTGGAGGAGTACTTGAGCTCCACTCCTCAGCGGCTGAAGTTGCTGGACGCCTATCTCCTTTATATACTGCTGACCGGGGCGCTGCAGTTCGGCTACTGTCTCCTCGTGGGCACCTTCCCCTTCAACTCGTTCCTCTCCGGCTTCATCTCTTGCGTGGGCAGCTTCATCCTCGCGGGTAATGATTCTGTGTCCTGGTAATAACGTTCCACACTTTGGCGCGCAGCTCCGTCCTCACAGTACCCTCTGGTAGTTTGTAGATGGCCGTCGCCTGTGAAGTCATGCATACTTCTTGTCTTGGGATCCAGGAAGCAGGCTTAGAAACGTCACGTTTCCAGTGCCAAACAACTGCCTAGGAGCTGGAACTGAAGATGTAAAGAAACTCTCTTCTGGTGACCCACCGCAATTAATACTGCTCTAAGGGAAAAAAAAAATCTCACTCCAACTTTGATGTTGCTCTAATACAAGTTTAAAGTTTTTAGACCCTTAAATGAAAAAGTCAGCCCTGAGCCATTTCTGTCACCTTGGTCTAATCCCTACTCCATACAGGGGGGAGGCAGGAATAGGGATATAAATATTGGTGATTGCTTGTGACGCTATCCAGTGGATGCTGGCTCATTAGTTGCCCCCATTTATTTTTTGTGGACGATGTTCCCCTGTTTTTCTCATTATCCTTGAACTCAATTTTTGTTCACACAGTTGTATGTTAGCTTTTCTTTCTGGCTTTCCGCATTTGATGATTTTATAGACTTCCAGATTTAATGAGGATTGCCTCTACGAATTTCATCTGGTCTGACCTTTCTTGCTCCGTGGAATTGAGTGAATACTGGGAACAGGTTTGGCTCAGGAATGTTAGCTACCAGGTGTATTATGGTCAGCAGTGTTTTGGGAGTTTATTAGCTATTGCTTTTTTTCCCTCAGTGAATTAGAGCTGGTTTGGACACAGACAAAATAGAAAGCACTGGACTTGTCTGGACACTTGATGTACAGTGATACCTCCTTAACACAGATCTCACATCCCATGTGCACATTCGCATTGTGAGCTCAGGCACCCTGGGGATAATTTTACTTTTCAGAACTTAGGTAGGCCGCAGGACATCCTGACTCGGGCCCCAGCCAGAGCTAGAGCTGCGAAGTTAGCTTGCTCAGTAGTCACTGTCTTTGGATTTTGGTCCAGCTTCTCGAGGCTGCACCCTAGCTATCAGGATATATTAGCACCGTCAGCCAGACCTGACAAACCTCCTTACTTCATGACGATTTTATTAACCAACCAGGAGAAAGAACTTTGCTGAGAACCTTTGATTTTTTTTATTTTATTTTATTTTTTTATTTTTGCCTCTGGTTTTGGAAGTGTAGGAACGGGGCGGGGGGCGCTAAAAGCTGATTTTAAAAATGCTTCTGCTGATGCTACCCCATCTTCATGAGCCTCTGGGTAACATTGGTTTCCCAGGACTACGTAGAAAAAAATGATCTGCTGAAAAGTTAGGTTGGTGTGAAAAAGCCAGAGAGTTTGACTTTTTAATTTTCTTTCTTTCTCTCATTTCTTTTTCTTTTTTTTTTGCAGGTGGCTTTTTCTTATGCTAAGTATTGTCTTTTAAAAATATTTCTTTTCAAAAATATTTTTGTGGGTGTCTGTGTGTGTATATATAGTGTGTTGTGAAGTGTCAGTACATGTCTGTGGACATGTGTGCATATGTGGAGGTCACAGAGCAGCAGCGTTTAGTGGCTAGACTGGACTGTGTGCATGTGTGCATATATGGTTGGCCAAAGAGCTTGAGGGGGTGTCTTCCTGTGGTGAATTGTCTGTCTCCGTCCTGTTCTCTCCAACCCACAGTTACAGATGTGAGTGCCACCCTACCAGGTTTTACATGGGTACTGGGCGTCTGAACCATCAGGTCCTTATGCTTTGAGGCAGGCACAGATACCAACCAGATATCTCTCCAGCTCCCAGTCTTGTTTTGTGCCTGTTAAGTCTAAAATTGTCAGGTTCCAGTGTGAGTAATATGGCTTGTTATTGAATAGAATGCTTAGCAAAAGAACACTGTTAGTAGTGAGACTAGTGTCAGTAGTGAGGTCATTATTAGTAGTGAGGACATTAGTAATGAGGACATTATTAGTAGTGAGGACATTATTAATAGTGAGATCATTATTAGTAGTGAGAACATTAGTGAGATTGGTGTCAGTAGTGAGGACATTATTAGTGGTGAGAACATTATTAATAGTGAGATTGGTGTCAGTAGTGAGGTCATTATTAGTAGTGAGAACATTAGTGAGATTGGTGTCAGTAGTGAGGACATTATTAGTGGTGAGAACATTATTAATAGTGAGATTGGTGTCAGTAGTGAGGTCATTATTAGTAGTGAGAACATTAGTGAGATTGGTGTCAGTAGTGAGGACATTATTAGTGGTGAGAACATTATTAATAGTGAGATTGGTGTCAGTAGTGAGGTCATTATTAGTAGTGAGGACATTAGTAATGAGGACATTAGTGGTAGTGGGGATATTATTAATAATGGACATTATTAATAGTGAAGACTTTATTAGTAGTAAGATTGGTGTCGGTAGTGAGGAGATTTCCAAATCTTTTAGGTAACAGGCAATAGAATGAGAGAAAGAAAAGTGGGTTCAAGAAGAAAAGAAAAAGGATTTTTGATAATTCATTGTTGCTGCAGAAAGTTATCATTTACATCCTCCCCCCCCCATAAGGGGCATTTTGCCACTGAGCTAATCCTCAAATCCATCCATCCATCATCCTCCATCCATATCCATCCATCATCTATCCATCATTATTTATCCATCCATCATCAATCCATCTATCCATCCTCCATCCATCCATCACCCATCCATTTATCCATCCACCCATTTATCCACCCATCCATCCATCCATCCATCCATCATCTATTCATCCATCCGTCATCAATCCATCTATCTATCATCCTCCATCCATCCATCCATCCATCCATCCATCCATCCATCCATCCATCCATCATTCTCCATCCATCCTTTCATTCATCATCCATCCATCATCCATCCACCATCCATTTATCCACCCACCCAGCCATCTATTTTTGGGAAAGGGTTTCAGTGTGTAGCCCTGGCTGGCTGGCACTGTTGATCAGGCTGACCTTGAACTCTCAGAGATTCCCCATACCTCCACTTTCTGAGTGCTGGGATTAAAGACGTGTGCCAGCAGCCTGGCTGCCATGTTTCTTTTGGCAGCATTAAGTTTACTAAATCCAACCTCTTTTGCTAGCCCAGATCATTGCTTGGTAACTTGTTTTAATGAAAAATTTGAAATTTGGATGTTTGGCCTTTGTTCATATTGTTGAGACAGGAAATCTTATACCTGCTGAAGTTGTTTTTGTTTGTTTGTGTTTTGATTTTTTTTTAACTTTTCTCTTTTGTTTTATTGGAAGAGAATAGAGGGGGCATTTTGACTGGTGAAGGGAGGTTCTAGGAAATTACGTTGGAGGATTTTGAAGGACCAAGTGGTGCTGAATGCTGGAGCTTTGGGTGTCAGATCTATTACTGTAGGCGATCATCTGAGAATTAAAAACGATATCATGGGCTGGTGAGATGTCTCCATGGGTGAAGGTACTTGTCACCAAACCTGAGAACCACTGAGTTTGATCCATGGGACCTGCGTGATGGAAGGAGAGAACTGACCTCTGCCAGTTTTCCTCTCATGTCCACATGTGTACACTCACTAAGTACATCACAAGAACAGACCAGCCATCCAGCAGCAGTGCGTGTGCACACTCACACTAGTACATCACAAGTGAACAGACCAGCATCCAGCAGCAGTGCCTGTGCACACTCACACTAGTACATCACAAGTGAACAGACCAGCATCCAGCAGCATTGTGTGTGCACACTCACACTAGTACATCACAAGTGAACAGA